TTTTTTTTTTTGGTTTTTTTTTTTTTTTTTTGTTTGTTTTTTTTTTTTTTTTTGGTTTTTTTTTTTTTTTTTTGTTTGTTTTTTTTTTTTTTTTTGGTTTTTTTTTTTTTTTTTTGTTTGTTTTTTTTTTTTTTTTTGGTTTTTTTTTTTTTTTTTTGTTTGTTTTTTTTTTTTTTTTTGGTTTTTTTTTTTTTTTTTTGTTTGTTTTTTTTTTTTTTTTTGGTTTTTTTTTTTTTTTTTTGTTTGTTTTTTTTTTTTTTTTAGGAATGTCTGAGAGTAACAAACTGAGATATTAATCCATCTCAGCTGAGCAGAGGTTACAGTCACATGGCTAGAATGTCACAGAAACAAATATTTCATTTTTCCTTAGCCTATTAAGAAATCTTAATGATTCCAAACACAGACCAAATAACAGATGTAATGATAATTTCAGATGGAATAATAATTGGCCTATAAAGGGCAAAAATACTGAGGATGGTCCAGGTGTTGAACTGAGAGTAATACAGCACGCCTCACTTAATGACCAAGTTCTGCTCCTATGACCTAGTAGTTGAGCCAATTGGTCAGGAAGCACAGAACTTAAAGGTGGATGTCTTGTGGTGTGTCGTGGCAACATAGACTATGTATTTTTTAGCAGATATCACATACCACACTAAAGTAATGCAATTCTATCCATACAAAAAGCATACCTTAGATATGACCCAGAAAGTGACAAGACAACACAACACGATGATAGAAATCTGGCGTAATCACTTGTATTTACTCTGAATAATGAAAAAGTCAAAAGAAAACTTTGTTTGCATTTGCATCTCAGCAACAATTATAAAAATGACGCACCCAAAATTTAAAGTCAATTTATAAAAAAGACATTCAGATTAATATTTTAGTCATTGAATCCTTTAAAGTGTGGTAGGGGTTTGAGGTCATTATAGGAGCTCCATGTAGTGAATACTAACTGATTGTAGAAATTAAACAAAGACTGATAAAGGGGATTTTCCTGAGACACACAAACTCCAAAAGACTGAGAAAGAGGATTCCCTGTGGTAGTCCTAAATATGAGAAATCATTTAACAGGTGGATCATTAAGTGAGGAGTGGTTATACGCCAACTCCTTTTTCTCTCCAAGCTACTCTGAATGTACAAAAAACACAGTTGATACTCAGAGTATGTTTGGGCAATTGTCATTTTTAATCCTAGACATAGATTTATGGGTGCAGAGGGATCAGAAAAGATTTTGGTGTGAATGTGTACATGTACAAGGTATTTGTCATTAGCGCGTGCATGCACACACATACACACACACTACTACACACACAAACCCCCCAACACCTCTATGTTGTTGTAACACACAGACGGTTATCACATGACTTTTTAAGAGAACTGGAATAAGATATTTAAAAAGGGAGATGGAGAGACCATCAGATGGCATAATGATTATGTTGCCGGGCTCCCACACAGGTGCTCGTGGTTCCAGTTCAGGACCCGGAGGCTTGAAACTCACGCTGGGCATGGGGTATGCATGCCCAAGACCCCGAGAGGAGAATAGAGGAGAAGGGATTGAGCCATGGCCATCCCCCCTAGGGAATGATTTCTTGCTTTCTATCTCTCAGGTGAGTGCCCTCATCCTATAACAAAAATCTCTCTCTAAAAGAGAGAGAGAGAGACATGGAATAGGCACTACTTTCAAATATTGCAAGTTATGTTTTTGTTTAATTACTTAAGCACATAATTAAGCATATTCTATACTTTGTAGTATTCTTTCTGATTTCTGTACCTTTGGCCAATACCTCTGCTAAAATGAAAGCAAGATGCAAGTGAGAATTTTCACATTATAGTGGGAAAGTTTAAAAGGCAAATTTATGCTAAACTTCTTACAACCAAACTAAAAAAAAAGGTAGACATATATGTATATATGTGAAATAATTTAATTAATTAGTTAATTAATTAATTTTAAAATTAATAAAACATTTCGTAATTCAGCAGAAGGGCTAACTTTTTTGTCTGAAACATGTATTTGCTCCCATTATTTTGTTTTTAATTTTCACTTTTTCTATACCCATATGCACTTGCCAGATAGAGACAGGGAGAAATCGAAAGAGAGGGAAGGTGAGAAAGCACCACGCAGGGTAGTTGGTCATGCTGCAATCCTTTCTCCTCCTCTCAAAATTTTTGGCATGCACGCTCATATACCTACCATGCTTTTCAAGCCACCAGGTCTGGGACTGAAATCACGTAGTTGGCCATGTGGGATCCAGTACCTTAACCACCATGCTAATGGCTGGCACAAAAGATTTTTCAAAATATGCCCCACAGGAGTGATTCTGAAAGATTTATCAGATATGATGTAAGAAAAGGCTTCTGTAGTGAAATAAATATGGGACTTAGTGACTTAAATTTTGTCAGGCTTCTTCACTCAGAGCTTCTCTAGAGCATTTAATATTCTCATACAAATCATGCATCTCCAAAAATATAGAGTTTAACTGTCATTACTTAAATTTCTTTGCCCATAGAAAATCCTATGATAGAAGATGCATTTTGTGATATTAATGTTCTTCATAGTATATTTTAGCAAATATTGCTTTTTAAAATAGACACATAAACTATACACTTTTCTAAAAAGAGGGGAGGTTAGTAGGTAGCTAAGAATACCTGGTCATGACCCTTCTCATGAAGTTCTCTAGCCTAGTGCTTCTCAAACATTAATGTGCTCATGAATCACCAAGGGACCATGTTAAATGCATATTACAGTTCTGCAAGTCTTTATGGAGCCTGAGATTCTGCTTTTCCAACAAGCTCCCAGGTGATACTGATGTTGCTGGCCCACAAATTACTTTTTGAGTAGCAAAGGGTAGAACACAATTGTCTTCAACTGCTGAAGGTATCAGAATTGTGAGGTCTGAAAATTCTGTATCCAGAGAGTGATGAATGTGCAAATGAATCTTACCAGTAAAACCTGTTGGGTGTGATGCGTTCATGCATGAGTTGCCACCGTCTGCCAAAGTCCATGGAGCTGTAGAGCTGCAAAATAATAAAGTGAGAAGAGCGTAAGTCTCAAAGGTATCCTCCCACTAGGCCACCCCAACAGCAGAAGAAAAGTTTGGAATTTTATCTACTTAAAGGGTAGGGTAGAAATAAGATCATGCTATATTTATCATGGTGCCTTCTAGCACTGAGCAAATGTTCAATATATATATATATATATCACATGTTCAATATATATCTAATACTGACTAATGTTCTTGAGCTGAGTCTAAATTCACTTCCCGTGGCCATCACTGTCATTGTCTATATTCTAAGTAATCCTTTAGTGATATTATGTCTTCTCTTTTCAAATTCTCTGTCTCTAACTACACTTAACACAACTAGACAATGCTTATTTTTAAATTATATGTTGAACAAACTCCTACATGTAAAGTACTCTATGTGATATGAAGATAAGAAAGAGACTGATTTTGTACCCTTAGGGAAAATGGGAGATTAATATATATACATATATATACACACATATACATATATATAGAGAGAGAGCGAGGGAGAGAATGCGAAAGAGAGAGAGAGGAAGAGAGAGAAAGATAGAGAGAGAGGAAGAGAAAGAGAGAGAGAGAGGTTCATTTGCTAGTATCAGAGCTAATATTATATGCAAAATGTTGTGTTCTTTCACATTATCTCTTTCTGCTCCCATGTACCATCTAAATGAAGAGAGAGAAAGATAGAGAGAGAGGAAGAGAAAGAGAGAGAGAGAGGTTCATTTGCTAGTATCAGAGCTAATATTATATGCAAAATGTTGTGTTCTTTCACATTATCTCTTTCTGCTCCCATGTACCATCTAAAGGAAATGAAATTATACATTTATACTCCCATGCTTAATTATACTTCCACATCTCTGCATAATAGAAAGACTAGTCCATTCTATGTCTAAGTAAAATTTACCTATCCAGCACAAATTTGCTTCTTCCACAAAACCTTTTCTAACCATTTCAGGACACTCATCCTTCTGCTTTTTCATCTTTTGATTACGTTGAGCACTTATCATGAGGTCATGTACGCTTATGTCTTTCAGATTTACTCATGCTATTTAGCCATGCTTCTATTTCTTGAATACATAAAACATATTCATTAAATATCTGTTGTGTAAATTAGTAATTAAAACAGGTAGGTAACAACAGACAGTAACTTATGGAATAAGGAAAAATTCCAGATGAGCCCCCAGAACTTCAAAAAATAAAACAACAAGCCCATGCATGGCTAATGGAGTCAGATTCCATGTTCACTTACGTTATGACTACACGTAGTTGGCCATGTGGGATCCAGTACCTTAACCACCATGCTAATGGCTGGCACAAAAGATTTTTCAAAATATGCCCCACAGGAGTGATTCTGAAAGATTTATCAGATATGATGTAAGAAAAGGCTTCTGTAGTGAAATAAATATGGGACTTAGTGACTTAAATTTTGTCAGGCTTCTTCACTCAGAGCTTCTCTAGAGCATTTAATATTCTCATACAAATCATGCATCTCCAAAAATATAGAGTTTAACTGTCATTACTTAAATTTCTTTGCCCATAGAAAATCCTATGATAGAAGATGCATTTTGTGATATTAATGTTCTTCATAGTATATTTTAGCAAATATTGCTTTTTAAAATAGACACATAAACTATACACTTTTCTAAAAAGAGGGGAGGTTAGTAGGTAGCTAAGAATACCTGGTCATGACCCTTCTCATGAAGTTCTCTAGCCTAGTGCTTCTCAAACATTAATGTGCTCATGAATCACCAAGGGACCATGTTAAATGCATATTACAGTTCTGCAAGTCTTTATGGAGCCTGAGATTCTGCTTTTCCAACAAGCTCCCAGGTGATACTGATGTTGCTGGCCCACAAATTACTTTTTGAGTAGCAAAGGGTAGAACACAATTGTCTTCAACTGCTGAAGGTATCAGAATTGTGAGGTCTGAAAATTCTGTATCCAGAGAGTGATGAATGTGCAAATGAATCTTACCAGTAAAACCTGTTGGGTGTGATGCGTTCATGCATGAGTTGCCACCGTCTGCCAAAGTCCATGGAGCTGTAGAGCTGCAAAATAATAAAGTGAGAAGAGCGTAAGTCTCAAAGGTATCCTCCCACTAGGCCACCCCAACAGCAGAAGAAAAGTTTGGAATTTTATCTACTTAAAGGGTAGGGTAGAAATAAGATCATGCTATATTTATCATGGTGCCTTCTAGCACTGAGCAAATGTTCAATATATATATAAATATATCACATGTTCAATATATATCTAATACTGACTAATGTTCTTGAGCTGAGTCTAAATTCACTTCCCGTGGCCATCACTGTCATTGTCTATATTCTAAGTAATCCTTTAGTGATATTATGTCTTCTCTTTTCAAATTCTCTGTCTCTAACTACACTTAACACAACTAGACAATGCTTATTTTTAAATTATATGTTGAACAAACTCCTACATGTAAAGTACTCTATGTGATATGAAGATAAGAAAGAGACTGATTTTGTACCCTTAGGGAAAATGGGAGATTAATATATATACATATATATACACACATATACATATATATAGAGAGAGAGCGAGGGAGAGAATGCGAAAGAGAGAGAGAGGAAGAGAGAGAAAGATAGAGAGAGAGGAAGAGAAAGAGAGAGAGAGAGGTTCATTTGCTAGTATCAGAGCTAATATTATATGCAAAATGTTGTGTTCTTTCACATTATCTCTTTCTGCTCCCATGTACCATCTAAATGAAATGAAATTATACATTTATACTCCCATGCTTAATTATACTTCCACATCTCTGCATAATAGAAAGACTAGTCCATTCTATGTCTAAGTAAAATTTACCTATCCAGCACAAATTTGCTTCTTCCACAAAACCTTTTCTAACCATTTCAGGACACTCATCCTTCTGCTTTTTCATCTTTTGATTACGTTGAGCACTTATCATGAGGTCATGTACGCTTATGTCTTTCAGATTTACTCATGCTATTTAGCCATGCTTCTATTTCTTGAATACATAAAACATATTCATTAAATATCTGTTGTGTAAATTAGTAATTAAAACAGGTAGGTAACAACAGACAGTAACTTATGGAATAAGGAAAAATTCCAGATGAGCCCCCAGAACTTCAAAAAATAAAACAACAAGCCCATGCATGGCTAATGGAGTCAGATTCCATGTTCACTTACGTTATGACTACAGAGGTTGACCCTTTTATAACACATTAGGAGTAAACCAGCATCTCTGTAAGTGACTAACTAGGAGTATTAGATTTATTTTCAATGGAATGTCTAGAAGTACAGTCTTTGAATTTGAGTGACAATTGAATAATTATAATAATAACTCCACCATGTTGCTCTTTCACATACATTTGAGCCTTACAACAATCTGAGAGAAAGTAGGGCAGTTATTACTGACTTAAATCCCTGCTCTCAAACATTCTCTGATCTGCCCAGGCAGAGTTAATCACTCCCTCCACAGTGCCGCCACTATATTTACTGTCTGCCTCTAAGAACCTGTTCACAGTAAGCCAATACTGGTTGGCACGCCTCTCTCTTGCTAGACTGAGTCCAAAGGGGGCAGGGACCACTCCTTATCCATTTTTGTGTATCAGTGGCTGTACTGTACCTGACACTTAACATACAAAGATTCTGTTTCATAGTTACTGAAACCTAATCTGGGAGAACTTAAGTTTTGGTTAAAGGAACTGAGCTTTAAGTTTTCTCATGCCTGACTCAAGTCTCCTTCCATGGCATCATGATGCCTAGTGTTCCACAAGAATTTCACCATGTTTATGTTTCCTAGACTCTCACAGGTGAGAAAATTGAGGAAGCCAGGAAGAGGTAGCCCTAAATTTCATAAAAATTAGAGATTAGTTGAAATATCTTTCTGTAATCATATTCCTAATAGTTGCTCATCTATGGGTATATTTTCACCAATATGCCACACCCAGAGAACCTCCCCCTCTGTAAAGTTCTAAACCAATAACCATATAACTCACACAAAAATAACTTTTTGTATGAGCTTTTGGAAATCTCAGAGTTTTGTTGGGCTCAGTAAAGCTTTAGCTCATTTCAACATAATTCAACAAATATTTCTGAACACTAGCACCATGAAAAAAATGTTTTGTCTAGTAAATGATACACACATATACACATGTATAGTTATGTGTGTGTGTATATATATATATATATATGTCATTATATGTACATATATAGTTCATATATAGTCATATACTTGTATGTGTGTATATAGTATCTTTTGACCCTCCAGGTTGCCTGTCAGGTAGTCAAGGATATATATCAACATTCCAGTTTCACAGATGAAAGACTGACACTTTGTGCTACCAAGCGACTACAACAAATACATCAACACTAGATATTAATCCTGACGTGGCACATCACAGATTTCTACTACACTACACCAGGTCTACACAAACTCTCATAATACCTATCCAAACTGTGCTCTCATTCCATAAGGAAGTACTATCTACTGTTCGGGTTCAATTACGCACGTAAGAAAAATAGGCAAAACTCTTCCCCATCCCAGTCTGTCTTTATTCACTAACTTAGTGACTAAAACAATATTCAGTTACATGGTACAGAGGGCCATATCCAGTGATTTAGATAACAAGAAGGGTAACCTCTCAATGAACTCTAAATAATCATACAAGTGCACCATGTCAAAGAGAAACATGAGGCAAAGGCTAAAGTTCTCGAAGTTGAGACATAAGAAAGAAAAAAAGGGGTAGAAATGGGACAAGAAGTCTTTCTGGACAAATATATTTTGAGTTAGGCCTTATAAGAGAGGTGGTATGGAAGGGAGAAGGGGCAGATGGAGATGTATAGAGTAGTAGAGACAAGAGAAAAAGGGACAGTATGACCTAGTTCTGGAGCGTGGCTTATGGGAGCCTTTTAAAGAGAGAGGAAGGATGTAATGACTGTTGTTAATGTAAAAGGTGCAGAGTGCTTATCCATCTATCTGTCTGTCTTTCTATCTATCCATCTTTCTATTGTGGATGTGTCTATATCCATTTGTATGTATATTTATATTGAGAGTGTAGGAGGAAGGAAAAGGTTCATGAGGACCATACCATGCCATTAGGGAGACTATATCCTCATATGTAATGCAAGGATGAGTTTTCCATGTTTCCTACATGAAACATTTGTTCACTCATGACAGAGTGCATGCCTGTACATGTGAGAAAAAAAGAAAGAGTGAGAGAGGAAGAGAGAGGAACACTCTTCACAAGGGTCTGGTCACAGTATAATCCCCTTCCTCAGTCCTTCAGCCCATCAGACCTGGGGCACTCATGCACATGCCTGATGTCTTTCTGGATGACTGAGCTGGGGATTCAGACCACAGTCACCATGCTAGCTCTGCCTTCTCTTGAACAGTGCATTATCACTCTGCCGTGAAGTTGGTCCTCTACATAGAGTTTTAAGAAATTGGATCCCTGTCCTCCCCATGCCAAGTGTCTAAAAAATAGATGCTCAGATTTAAGATACATGTTTTCTAATGAAATAAAACAGACACTTTGGTTTAGAGCCTTCTATAACCCAAAGATCAGCCTTCCATCTGCCTTGACTCCAATCACAGCAAATAGAGCCCCAAATTCCTTAAATGAAACCCAGCATGATTGTACCTTCCTCTACCGCAAACTGTATAGAGACAGGCCCGGAGAATCCGTGAGGGTCACACTGACACGGCTAGAGTCTCAGTCCTCCAGGGAAATTATCAGTCCTTCCACCGTGGAGGATCCTGCTGGTGGCAGACACCATCCACCATAGCTTTTGCTGGGGCTCACCCCTGGGAAAAGCATGGTTCCTTTCAGCTATGCTCTTCCTACCACAGGAAGAATGAAAAATCAGTTGCAGATTTCATCCAAGCCTGTTCCACCTACTGCCTCCCTTGTCTCTGGTTTTGCTTTTTCAGCTCTTCAGTTTGACTGATGGGGAAAAAATTAAATTGAATTCTCTGCCTAGAGGCTGATTCAGATGAACAGAAGGAGCAGACTCCTATTCATTAAGGGCCTTGGGTTAGCTACCTTGTCTCTCAATCTATGGTAAATTGCTGAATCTGAAGCATATTTTATTCTGCCATGTGTTGAATCTCTGCAGTGTCTATACTCATACATACCCCTACCTGTTCATCCATTTCCTTATTTAATCACTCCTTCACTTATTCATATATACATTCATTCACTAGAAGTACATCAAATTACTATTATAGTCTAGGCACTGAGCTATGTGCTGGAGTTATAGACAAAAAGTTCCACGATCAGCAAAAAATGTAAATGTATACAATTACACTGTCACGCAATGTATGCTGCAATATAAATACCAGTTAACCCTGTAATTATAAGATGGGAGGCAGTTAGTATTTTCTTCTTTTGGTCATCTAGATTTACAAAATTATGATGAACCTGTATTACTTTCATAATCAAAAAATAAAATCTGTAACATTCAAAGAGAACAGAAACACATGAGTGAACATTCATTAGTAAGCCCTAGAAGATTATCCAATAATATGAAAATGCTCATGATTATTATTCATTTACAAATATTGTAAAACAGATATTGCCATCAATTTTATTTAAAGTGTTACACAATTTTTAACAAATTATAGTTTATATATTATAGTTCTCTTTCAAATAATCTTCTGAAAAAAAAAACAAGAATTAAAATTGCAATTTCTTCAAGAGGAAACTGAAATGTGACAAAGCAATATGGGATTTCCCACAAAGTAGGACTTCATAGAAATGAATATGAATAGTGGCAAATTCTTCCTTGAACCAGCTCACTTTTGTGTTTATATTGTCCTGGATAGCAACAAGCCAATATATTGCATGCAACATTAAAACAGAGTGAGTTTTCTAAATAATAATAACAATAATAATAATAAAATCATTCTTTGTTTATACAGAGTAATAGACAAAGGTAACCATTCTCCATGCCCTGTCTCATGATGCCCTCTACTTACAAATATAACATTCCTGGATATAATCAGAGAGCAATCCAGATCCTCTCCTTTTCCTTTTTCCACTATATGTCATGGCCTCGTATCTCT